TAAAATCTAGAGTGGAGCCTACAAGGGGTGTCCCTTAAATAAGCTTATTTGAGGGATCCTTCAATGGAAGCTCTGTATATATATTCTATTTAAACCTCACACTTCTCTTTGTTCACCTCAATACTTATATTATTAAGCTCTTAAGTTTTATCATTGTGTAAAAAGACAAAAAGGTCATCCAACTTAATACTTAACCCCAGTACATCTACACACACCCCACCACTCTTCATAGTTTAGAAAAACACAAACTCATCTACACCCTATTACCATATTACTCTTCTCTTTTAAACAGGTAGAACGTTGAGGAGCCTACCTCTTTAAATACTCAACTTGTTGTGTTTCAATGTAATAAAGTGTTTAATTCCTTCACTAATCAATATCATCTACATATAGTAGAGTATTATTTTCTATCATATCAATAGTGCATTTCACTCACTTCATTTTTAGGAGATCCGTTTATTAAGCTCTCTGTTCTTCCTCCATCTAGCCTGAAGAACAATATAATAAATATTCAAAGTTAAAAAATTATCTTTTTACACAATAATAAATCTTAGGGATTTTACAATTTAAGTATTTGAGTGAACAAAGAAAAGTGTGGGGTTTTAAATAGAAAAACTCTTATATTATTTATTTTTTTTGCTAGGTATGTATTTAGGGGTAGTTTGGGAAGATACTGGGGTTGTGAAAATTTGAATTAGAAGTTGGGGTGAACTTAGAACATGGGGTGAACAAAGAAAAGTGTAGGGTTTAAATAGAAAAACTCATATATATATATATATATATCCCTCAAATAATTTTATTTGAGGGACACCCTTTAGGGTGCCCTACGAATTTTTTTTCAACAATCCAAATCATCTGTTTTTTAGGTCTTTAAATTATAGATCATCCTTGCCAAAAATTAGACAAATCAGAAACCATTTCGATATCCAATTGTGTCTTACAAAATCAATAAACACGGTGCTTTAAGAAAATATTAAAATTTCAATAATTCAATTGAGTGGTCAAATAATATTGGATTCAAGTTATTTTTTTGTAGAGATGATCTTAGAATAAGTATCTACAAAATAGATGGTCTAGATTAGTGAAATACATACGGAGTGAGCCCTACAAGGGTGTCTCTCAAATATATATATATATATATATATACTCAATTAAATTTATTTTGAGTTCAATTACCAATAATGCATATTGATGTGATGTGATGTGATACTTATTTAGCTGTTGGTTTAACATCTTAACTAGGAAATAATTAATAATGTGATGAAAATGAGTAGGTCAAGTGGTTCAGATTCTCTTTTGGATAATTTATGTTAAACTTAATGCACGCTTATCTTGAAGAATTTAGAAAAATCTAGAAAAAAAAAGAGTAGAAAACTCAAGAAATGTCCACTAACTTTGACAAAGTCAATAAGATCAAGCTTTAAGACATAATTGTTGTAGGCATTCTAGAAAAATCCTAACACAAATATTGTAATAAGGTAATACTAGGCTCGTTTGGTGCTTCAGATTGTACTAACTAATTTTTGTCGGATAGTATTAATCTGTTTCAGAGAGTACTGACTACATATCCATAATATTGTAAGGCGTTTGGTGCTGTTCCAGATAAATAGTTTGACTAAGTTATATTGTGTTTGGTGCTATTTTGGATAACATCAAATCACACTTTTTTTAACAAAAATTTCTTTGATAATTTAAGTGGAAATATAGATGATATAAACAATATAATTTGTATATATATAATTAAGAAAAAAAAGAGAATATATTGAAGCCCAACAAAAGCAAGCAATAAGAGAATTAACAGCCAGCAGTAGTAACACGAAAATAACCACAAAACAAACCAACAAAGCACCAAAAGTAAAATTTTTTAAAAAAAAATACAGCAAGAAAAACATAGCCGCATGTATTGTTCTAATCATTGACTTAGGATGATAATTTGATTATTGAGTTGGATACCTAAAAAAGATGAAATACATAAAGAAAAAAACGCAAAGAAAAACTCAGTAGCATGTATTGAGTTGGATACACAGCCGCATGATGAGTATTTGATTATTGAGGTGGATACAAGGTCGCATGTATTGTTCAAATACAGCAAGAAAAAAAATGTCCAAAAGGAAAAACTCATAACCTAATTTTCACAAAAATTTAATAAAAGAAGAAATATATAAAGATAGAGAAGATGAACAAAGAAGAAGAGAGAAAAAGCATATTAGCGAAAAAAATAGTATCGCCGCACGGCTATACTCGGGGTTTTTTTAATTTATAATAAAAAGAATATAGACTCTAGTATAGCAGTGCAACTATACTATTTTTGACACCTGGTGAAATGGACGCTAGGTGCCAGGCTGGGTTTTTTATAATAAAGAGTATAGCCGCCCGGCTATACTCGGATTATTTTATAATAAAGAAAGTATAGCCGCGCGGTTATACTACAGTTTTTATTATAAAAATATAGTATAGTTGTACGGGTATACCCTTTTTGATGTGGCGACGCAGGCGCTAGTGCCAAGCAGGTCCACTTTTTTTAAAATAAATAGTATCACCGCATAGCTCTACTCGGTGTTTTTTTTTTTAAAGTCAGCCGGTGGCTATACTACAGTTTTTTATTATTTAAAAAATGTATAGCCGCGCGGCTGTACTGTGGTCTTTTTAAAAAAATATTTTTTATAAATAGTATAGCTGAGCGACTATACTCTGTGATCTTTTTGTTTTTTAAAATTGTTTTTCCCTGATTTTTGTTTATCGATAAGGATAGTTTAGAGCATTATCCATTACTATTAAGCCATTATTCAAGTCTCTATTGTCCTTTTTTGAGTTTTTGCTTTTCTAGAGCTATCACCCATATAAAGAATTTAGAATTTTTCACGTTTAATACTCGTATTGTACACATAAGTATGGATTTTTTTACGTTTAATACACTTATTTTTTACATAATTTTCAATTATACACATAATTTTCACATATTATTGAACAAAAATAATATATATTAAAAAAACTATTAAAATATTATATAGTGGCCGAACTTATCAGTTGTAATTTGCCAAAATATTGCCCAATAAAACACATATGTATTGTATTCATATTTTTCCCGTTCCGTATTTTACTAACTAAAATAATGTGAGAGGCTAAGATTATTTCTTACTTGTTGTAACAAAAATGCAAGATGATGATATTGCAAACTCTTTGCCAACCATAACAACAATTTCAAACAAAGATTTATGGGTATAGTAGTAAGTTAGGTGGTAGTATTCTTCATGTAAAGTGTTGTTTGAAATGTGAAGCAATTACCAAGAACACTCTAACAAAGCATGCAATTCTCTACAACAAATAATATATGTAGTAACAAAATTTAGTAGCACTTGAGAGAATGAGGTAGACCAAAGGCAAACATTTCCACAAAAAAAGAAGAAGAAAAAATTGAACTTTCAAATTAATTTCCTATGAAATTTCTCTATGTTCAATATTTGCTTTGTAGTTATTGAAACTAACAAATTAATATATATAAAGTATAAACTAATGTAACTAGAAGGGTCATTTTAAAAAATAAATAAATAAATAGTATAGCCGTGCGGCTATATATTAACACACCCCAAAATAGAATATTTTAACAGTACTAATTTAGTATGTTTCAGTTAATTATTTATTCTATTCCATTTTTGGGTATACCCGCGCGACTATACCCTTTAAGTAGCATCATATGGATTTCTCTTTTTTAATTACTTTAATTAGTAGTTATATTTTAGTTATTATTTACTTAGTGAATAATTAGTATTTAAATATTTTATTTAAAAAAATTGAAAATTTTAATTACTATTTATTAAGTAATTCATGAAGTTAATTAAAATATTTAAACTGTAATTATTAACTAAAGAAATAATAATTAAAATATAAGTACTAATTTAACTAATTAAATCGGGCAAAATATATTATTTAATTACTAAAAATAAAATAAATAATTAACTGAAACATACTAAATTTATATTTATTTTTTTAAAACTAACCTCTCCTTACGAAATTGCGTCTGCAAGGTAACTTTCGTCGGGAGAGCTTTTTTTAAAAGTATAGCCAACCGGCTATACCCAAAAATAGAATATTTTAAAAGTAGCCGCGCCCGGCTATACCCTTTAAGTAGCATAATATGGATTTTCCTTTTTTAATTACTTTGATTTAGGGGAGGCATTTTAGACTGAAAAACCGCAAAAATCAACTGATAATTTACCGCAATGGAACTGCAATCGCGGGAAACCGAACCGCATTTGCGGTTGCAGTTATGGTATTTGATTTTCAAAACTTACGGTTACCGCAAACCCGACTATATATATATATTTTTTTTTAATTGCATTTTGTAAATAACATTGGTCCTCAAACAACACAACGGGGTCCTTCAAATCCACTCATCACCACCAACACTTGAGTTTGTAACTTTAATTTGTAACATTGGTGCATTGCATTTTCCTTTTAGTTTGTAATTTTAATTAACTTTGAATTGGATTTTTCCTTTGGGTTATAACTTTAATTCATTTTGCATTGCATTTTCCTTTTAGTTTGTAACTTTAAAGAAATTGGAATTTGAATGTTTGAGAAGTTGAGGTTGTGAATGCTTGAGAAGTTTAACTTTAATTGGAATGCTTCGAATTGTAACTTTAATTTTCTTTAGGTTGTGAATGCTTGAGAAGTTGAGGAGGTTGTGAATTTATATATGCTTGAGAAGTTGAGGTTGTGAATTTATTTATTTAGGTTGTGAATTTATATTTTTGAGTTAAAGTATGCTTGAAATCAAAAGGCTTCAAAAGAAGCATACAAATTAGGCCTAAAATGTGAAATATTGGATTCTTTTTGCGGTTTCAAAAATCACCATACTGTAAATAGTCGGTCGGTTTATGGTTTGAGCAAAAATTCACAGTTACTAAACCACAACCGTCCCTACTTTGATTAGTAGTTATTATTTACTTAGTGAATATTAAAAGAAAAAAAAGTAGAAAATTCGAAGTTAAAAGACTTTTGTTTGTTGTTCTCCCCCGTCTCCCAAAGCGGGAAAGGCAAAAGCCCTACTGAGTATTTCTCAGGCGGGAGTGTTGCAGAAAAAGAGGATCAATGGCGCCACTAGTGCAAAGCTCTCAACCATGGGTCGAAAAATAGTATGATACTCACTCTCTCTCTCTCTCTCTCCAATATATTCACATTTGGGTAAAAATTTGTTGAATTTGAATTTGATTTTTGTGGGGTTTGTCAGTCGGCCGAAGCAAGTGAAAGATGTGGCTCAGCAGGACGAGGTGGTTCGGGTCCTCACCAACACCCTCGAGACCTCAAATGTAACATATATAGCTTCATTTTCCAAAACCCTACTGCTCTTGTTCCTGTTCATCAGTTTATTCATCTGAATTAATTGGGGTTTTTCTATTTTTCAGTGTCCGCACATGCTCTTCTACGGTCCACCGGGCACCGGAAAAACCACCACTGCTCTCGCCATTGCCCACCAGCTTTTCGGGTTTGCCTCCTCCCGCTCAATCATTTATTAGAATTACAATGGTTCTGTATATGCTTTTAACTCTTAAAAACTGTTATCCCAAATTGCTTTTTCTTCTTTTGGAAATGTTCAATTGGGTTGAGTACCTGCGATATTCTTTCTGGGTAAACTAGGATTTAGTTGATATAGGTTGGACTTTGATCACTATGGATGTGTTATGGTTTTTGGTTTTGTGGTATTTAAATTAAATGATATTATTTGGAAAGATTAAGTATACGAACTACAGCACTATTTATATCCTTTTACTAAAAGTTCAAATTTCAAGAACCGGGATTTATTTACTATACACGTTACTTTGAAAATTTTCTTTGATTTTAACCACAATCTTTTTGCAGACCTGAACTCTACAAGTCTAGAGTGTTGGAGCTCAATGCAAGTGATGATCGTGGGATCAATGTTGTCCGGACAAAGATCAAAGATTTTGCTGCTGTGGCTGTGGGTTCTGCTCAACGTCAAGGGTATGTTCTCGTACCTGAGAGCTCTTATTCCCATGCTCAGTTCTTATATTCTCCATTTCCAATTTTTTGAGATATATTTGCCCTTTCTTCACTGCCTCAGGGGTTACCCTTGTCCACCATTTAAGATCATTATCCTAGATGAGGCGGATTCAATGACAGAAGATGCTCAGGTATGTTTGTTATCTGTTCATTTCTAGTGTCTTTATTTTATTCTTTTTCCTTAAAAAGTATTAAGAATGCCCTCACAATTACTTTCTGCCATGCAGAATGCTCTAAGACGTACAATGGAAACCTACTCCAAAGTCACAAGATTCTTTTTTATATGTAATTATATCAGCAGGTGCACCTTCTCTACTATTTTCTTTGTTTAATTTGGCGATATATAATTCCTTTTTATGTTTTTGCTAAATTTATATTTATGGTAGCCCCAATCTCTTTCTTAATTTTCTATTTGGGGCAGGGTTGATAAAATATAGTTGAGTTTGGGTTTGTTCGGAGGAACTTGCATGCATCCTAATAGTGCCGACTAATCAATTTAGGGTTCTTGATCATTTTCAGTGCCGCATAAAATGTAAAGTTATCCTGATAAAACCTGTTACAATATTTTGAGATAATACCTTCTTTATGAACTGTTCATGTATACTTATATGTCTATGTAGGAAGGCTCATTGAAATGCTCTAAGGTTTTATATCATCAAATGTAAATTGTCATTTACATTAGCAAAGAGCAGGCCTTGCAGTTGGTGATCTATGAGGTTGTCTTTCTGCAGGATCATAGAGCCACTTGCTTCAAGATGTGCAAAGTTTAGGTTTAAGCCACTTTCAGAAGAAATCATGATCAGCCGCGTATTGCATATTTGCCAAGAAGAAGGCCTCAACCTAGATCCAGAGGTGTGTACGTGGCTAAATCTTGGATTAGATATTGTGGTTTGTTGAAAATGGGGATCTTTGCATGAGTGTTGGGTTTCTGACATCATTATACAAAATGTATGATCTACGTTGTAGGTTCTGTCAACACTAAGTTCTATCTCACAAGGTGATCTTCGTCGGGCTATTACATACTTGCAGGTAAGTGGGGGTTATTCAATGAAAATTTGCCTCTTTTTTCATGTTGATATATCTTTTGTTGAAAAACACGAGAGGTAACTACCAGCAAGAAACAGAATGTGTTACTGTTGTGCCTGTCTATGTTGAATGGGTTATTTGTTTAGTAGCTTGTTTACGTCAAGTATTTGGTATGTTTTTTGCTTCTTAATTGATGATGCATTTTTCATAAAGCATGATGCTAGTTGAAATTCCATTGAGAATTTCTTTGGCTTTCATGCATTGTCTCTTGAAATTTAGCACCCCAAAATTTCTCCATATTTTAAGTTTATTTAATATTTGTTTTGATGCATATTTTTTGGGGTCTGCGTATGATGATATGAGAATATTGTTGAACTGATAACAGTATGATTCTTGAATTCTAAATTGTACTTTTGAAATATTGCAGTCAGCTGCGCGCTTATTTGGATCTTCCATTTCTAAGAAGGAGCTGATTAGTGTCTCTGGGGTAAGTAACAGGAGAGGAAAATTTGATGATGATTTTATTTATCTATTTATATCAGGCAGTAACCTTCGATGCTATTGCATACAAGTTTATGTAGTTGCAACAAATGGGCAATAGTATTTTTTGATTTGAAGTTGCATCCTTGCTCAGCTGGTTCCTGTAATCCCAAATTCTAGCAACTTTTGTCAAGATAATCAGTATATGTCTCATTGCTATTCAGTATTTCTGTTTTCTTGTTTGTTAGCAACTGAAGAAACTTATTACAGCAGAACATTTATGTTCTTCTGACTCCAGCCATTACCCATTTTTAGTCTCACTACATTGGGGGTCCTAGGTACAGTGATCCTAGGATGGGAGATTTGTATTTGATCCTAGATTGGGGATTTAACATGAAATGGCCTCTCTTAAGAATGAATCCAGATATGTGTTTGACAGCCCAAGATATACTTTTGTTTTATTTCAAATCCCTGCCTTGTCCTGATATCTATTATTTGAGTTCTTTAGGTAATCCCGGAGGAGGTTGTCGAGTCATTTTTTGCTGCCTGCAGCGGTGATAACTTTGATTTGGCAAACAAGGAAGTCAACAATGTAATCGCAGAGGGATATCCAGTCTCTCAGATGCTTTCACAGGTTTTATTTTTGTTCTTTTAAATTAATCTAGTGGTCTTTCTTTTATGTAAGATTGTAATACTAATACAATGTTACTTGTAGTTATTTGAGGTGGTGGTTGAATCAGATGACATATCAGATGAACAGAAGGCTAGAATATGCAAAAAAATGGGTGAAGCAGATAAGGTAAGACCGAATTATTGCATTTTATAGGCATGTCAAATGTGTTAGATTATTAGGTTCAATAATTCGAAATTCATTAAACGGGCTCATATTCAGATGGATCCCTAAAAAGGATGTGTTCTCGCAGATGCTGGACATCAACTTTTACATTTTTGGGCATAATATACTGATGATGTAGCCCTATCTTGGGCAAACTTCTACTTTTGCTCCTGTTTATGTGCAGCGTCTCGTTGACGGTGCTGACGAGTACTTGCAGCTGCTTGATGTTGCCAGCAGTGTAATGCGAGCTATGTGTAACATGCCCGAAGATTTCTCTTAGGAATGTTAGGTGGTTTCAGGTAAATTTGTGAACCGGGATGCAGACCCGTACGCTGCTAGATCTTGCAGAGACAAAGTTTCTTAAATTCCGAAGAAAAAAAATACTTATTTTGTGAAATATACCAACCACTTATTAGCTATTTTGTTTTCAACACACCAGAGCTTTAGCTAATTGGAATTAGCAGAGCATTACGTGGAAAACATGATAAGGGGTTATTGTAGAGGATTATGATTTCTGAAAGCAACATGATTAAGTCCCTTTCACGTTTACATAATGAAACCGATCCTTAGAGAAATATGCATCATTTTTGCAAAGCAATGAGACTAAGACTGCGGGGTCAAAATCATGCTTGGATTTGATAGGGGAACACATGCGTTACATCTTTGTTGCTGTTGGACAAAATGTCCGTGAAGGAACCCTAATTTTACTTAGATTCACGAGCAGGAAAATCAAAGAAACTTGGCAGCTTCCATGGCAAACTGTGAATCCGTGACGCCATGTGTTACGACCTACCATACATCAATGATTCTGTACTCTCATTCAAATAGAGACAAGTGTTAGCCATTTACCCGTGAAGTATTTTAAAAACGAGTCACCTATTTGTTCTAAATTGGATGAAAAATAAATTGACATTTAGTTATTATTTTGTTGGAAAATCCCAAATTCAAATTTCACAAATGAAAATTGTTGAATAAAAAGATTGTTAATAAAACAAATGCCGTTGAAAAACATTTAAGCTTTTTGCAATGCTATGATTCTGTTTTTTAAACCCGTCTTTGTGAGACAAAATTTCCCTCCAGATTCATCTAAAAAGCAAAGCACCGAGCACCAAGCACATCTTTTCATGACTCTTTCAATAGGGTGGTGGAGATTACTACTCAACGAGCAAAAGTCACGTCTAAGACGCAAGCAGCCATGGGACTAAAAGATTCATGTGTCTAAATAGTCCAAGTCCACTTGGCCTCGTGCTTGTGCCATGATTGAAATGCTTTCTTTTGGCATTTCGGTCATTTGGATGACTCCTAGTCGTTGATATATTATCAAATTGTGGAATTTATTTGTATTAAATGTTGAAGCTCACACGTTGACAAGAGTTAACCATTGATAAATTGTTGTATCTATTTGCGATTAATGTGTGCATATAAGTCATAGTATTGATGAATGCATTGGCGAACTCTTTTGTATCAACACTCACAATCACGGACGAGATTTCAAATTCTATAAACTAAAGTCAAGTGCATGTTTGGACCCATCTACACCTATGGCCTACCTACCCAACTTAATGCCTTTAATCCCGCCGGGAGCAAGCTTTCAATTTTCTTGGCACCCCCCTCACACTCTCTTCTCTATATATACAAATCCATATGATCCAATATCAACACAATGAAACAAATGGCAATTGATGATTATGATGACTCCTTCACAAAACCAGGAGCAATCCCATTCAAATGGGAAATCCGACCCGGCGTCCCCAAAATCCAAACCCAACAACAAAAACAACCACTACCACCACCTCCACATCCGCATATTCACAAACACCTTAACCTCAAACCCCCACCATCCGGGTCACTCTTCCTGCCGCCACCGGAGCCCCATACCCGAAGTCGCTCCTTCCGCTCTGCTTCCGCCGCTCGAACCCGGTCCGAGCGCTGGCGATTCGAGCAGCCCGATAACATCCTTGCCCGGCGACCCGGACGACCCGACACCGTTTCAGCCGGGTGCTTCATGTCTCCACTTCTGAGGCGGAAGTCAGCGAGCAGTAGCAAAAGGGGGAGCGGAGCTAGAACGGTACCCGTACCCGAGTCCGAACCCGATTACACTTCGGACCTTGAGACGCTGGCCCGGTGGTCTCTGTCGTCGCGGAAATCGCTGCTCTCACCGTTCCGTGACTCACCCACGTCCACGTCCTCCTCGTCGTCCCCTCGACCCGTATGTGACGCTGAGTGGGCCGGGTTCGGGCTCTTTTGAAAGCTTATAGTAAAAAGCTTTTTTTACTATTGTATTTAATTAGTAAGTAATTATGGCAAGCCCAGCATGGTTAATTCCTTAATGGGTAAGCTTAGCTCTCTAGTCACACAAGACTAAGTAGAGTACTTGGAAGTTTTTGGTTTTTGGTTTTTTTGGTTCTAGATGGCAAAAAGTAGGTCAAGTCAAAAGGTTTTGTTGATACTTGATCTTGGATGTAGTTGTGGAATGAAAGGGATAACCTTTCTTTTTATATACATAATGAAAATAAAGATAGAAGGTTGCCTTTTGAAAGGTTTATACTCCTTTTTCCTACATAAACTTGACTTCATTAAAACTTATAATAAAAAGATTAAGAAAGTACCCACAATGTGTGTAAAGGATGTTGGGTATGATCGAATGAAGTCTCTATATTGCTTCTCTTTGTAAAGATTTGTTTTGCGTTAGGGTTAAATAAATAGCATTCTTCCAACTGTCATTTACTGACATTCCTTTCCTATCTGGTGAATACGCCATACTAAAATAATACATTTTTCTTTAGTTTTAGTAGAAGAGAATTGAACTCTTAAGCTAACCTTATCCTAACTCATTTTCCTATCTATCATCAATTGAGAAGTAATACTTATATGTGCATAAGTGAGGAAAAAAGTATAACTCAACCATTAGCAGTTTTTGGTTAATGGGTTTGGATTGGCTTTCGTTTGTGAGCCACGTACTCATAAAGAACAAAGTAGAGGTTGTGAATGAGAATATGAAGCGTGTTCACTAATAAATCAAACCCTTAACATAATCTAATTCTAACTCATTTCCCCGTCTATCCTCAATATCAAACAATACTTACTTATACATGAATAAATATGTGAGGAAAAAAGTTTGAATTGAAATTTGCACAATCACATGCATTATGAGTTATTAGTTATTAGTTATTGGTTAATGGATTTGGATTAGCCTTCGTTTGTGTGTTATTTACTCTGTTTCAATATGTGAGGAGCAAAAGAAGATTATAAAGCATGTTAACCAAATCATCATATCCATTCCTCTTCATCAAACATCAAACAGGTTCCACTAATTTTATTATAAAACAAAAGCAAACAGCTTATTGCATTTCTTGTGATTCCTTTTCAAGAATTACTATTTAAAAATAAAATAAAATTAAAGGACAACAATTTTGAAGCAACTTTATATGGGCCGACCCTTATAAACTGAAAGCCCAACTCAAATCCTATCTTTCATCTTCAAATTACACAACATCCTCTTCCCTCCAAGTCCCAAAGTCCCCAACCAGCACTTAGAACAGCTCCATCAATGAACCACTCGAAAGCTGAATTAGGCAAGCTTAACCAAACCCTTGTCTCATCAAACCCAGAAATCAATTTTTCATATTTATTGATTCTCAGTTAATCTTTCACAGAAAGAAAACAAAAAACGCTAAACATGAACCACTCGAAACCTCTGTGCCGCAATTACACACCCAATGTAGTGAACCAAGTCCTCACTGCCATGCTAAAAAACCAACCCTTCAATTCCGAGCTCGCTGCCTCAGCCACCACCTCTCAGCCATGGACCTCCGAGTCAGTTTCCCAAGTCCTAATCTCCATACCCAGATTCTTCTTCCAGTCCCCCCGCTCCATCGGTCGCCAACATGGCTTTCGACACCGTGCTCCGTTAAAGCAACGCAATCTCAGACAAGAATCTTATAGGTTCCATAACAACGTGCTCGTTCTTGGCCCAGCTGCCCACAGAGACCTTCACAAGGTTCAGCTGGGATTGGACAAAGCGCTTGAATTCTTCTACTGGGTCGAAACCCATTTTGGGTTTGTTCACAATGAGCAAACTTGTAGGGATATGGCCGTTGTTTTGGCTAGAGGGAATAAATTGAAAGCCCTCTGGGATTTTCTTAAAAAAATATCGAAGAGAGGGAGTGGTGGGCTGGTGACTACCCAGACCATTACGTGTTTGATAAAAGTCCTAGGAGAGGAGGGACTGGTTACTGATGCATTGGCTGCGTTTTATAGAATGAAGCAGTTTCATTGTAAACCTGATGTGTACGCTTATAACACTATTATTTATGCTCTCTGCAGAGTTGGGAATTTTAATAAGGCCCGGTTTTTGTTGGAGCAGATGGAGTTGCCGGGCTTTAGATGCCCACCGGACGTGTTCACTTATACGATTTTGATTAGTTCTTATTGTAGATATGGCTTGGAGACTGGGTGTAGGAAGGCCACTAGGAGGCGGATGTGGGAAGCAAACCACATGTTCCGGAACATGCTTTTCAGAGGCTTTGTCCCTGATGTTGTCACTTACAATTCTTTGATCAATGGCTGTTGCAAAACCTACCGGATCGAGAGGGCTTTGGAGTTGTTTGATGATATGAACAGAATGGGTTGTACCCCCAATCGGGTTACTTATGATTCCTTTATTAGATACTACGCTGCTGTTAATGAGATTGATAAGGCGGTTGATTTGTTACGGAAGATGCAAAATATGAAACATGGAATGCCCACTTCAAGTTCTTACACTCCAATCATTCATGCCTTGTGTGAAGCAGGAAGGGTTATAGAGGCTCGGGATTTTCTTGCTGAGTTGATTGATGGAGGCTCGATACCTAGAGAGTATACTTATAAGTTAGTTTGCGACGCACTAAATTCAGCTGGAGAATTCAATTCGCTTGATAATGATCTGCATAGAAGAATAAAATATGGTATAGAGAGTAGACATAGGCAGATAATGAAGGTGAAGCCGATTATGACTCGCAAAGGATACGATAGCATGGTGGAAACTTGACGTTGTGAAGAAACTAGTTATGGTCAAGAACTGCAGATTATAGTCATTCTTTGACAAACATTTGGAGGTACTAAAGTTCATGCACTTCCGTTGGCTGGCCATACAAAATCTATTGAAGATTAATTGGTAATGAGACAACTTATTTGATGATCCTTGTTGTCGCGTTATAAATTTGTGGCGCTGCTCTTAAGAGGTATCTTAGTTTCAAGCAATTTTCGATCAGCGCCAAGCAGCTCGAATTGCTACAACTCAACTTACTGATGATCCTTGTCATTGTGTTATAAATTTGTGGAGCTGATGTTTAAGATGTGTTGCATGTTTTAAGCAATTCTCAGTCAGCCTCAAGCAGTTTGAATTGCTTGGTGCCATGAGCTGAAAGCTTAGTTCACTGGACTAGATGCTTGGGTCTCAACAATCAGCACAGTTTTGACAAGATCGTCTCCTATTGCTTTTGTAATGAGGGAGAGTTAAAAAGGTGGAACCAAGCTCCAAATTAAGGTCGAAGTTGGTCAACTTCTGTCACGAAGTTCTTCTCACATTGGGGGTATATGGTAAAGTAATTGGAGAGTGAATCCCTTTGTTTCTGCAGATAAGTTTGAAAAGTTTGAAAGCACATGAGAAGCTTATAATACCATCTTATTTCTTTGATGAATATCAAGTTTTAGAGACTTCAAAATTGCATTGAAGATCAGCAATAATAGTATATAATCATAGGGTAATTTTATTTGGACCCAACAATCTTTCTTTTAGACCCAAGATTTGTTCCAAAAATAGCCTTACTCATGAAGAACCCAACCCAACATCTCACTTTCTCTATACACCCAACCAAACCTATTAACAAGTAGAGATATTTAGTGAAATACTCATTCTTAGCACTAATATTATAAATAAACCATAATCCATTGAATTTCTATAAACAAACCCAAAAAAAAACCCAAAAAATGATAGCTAGCCTTATTGACTTTAAGATCGATTATTAAATTACTTTGGTGCCCTATTTAGTGTTTTGGGTATTTTTATGAGATTTTGGGGTTGGGCTTGTTTTAAGAAATTGATGGCAGTTTTGTAATTTATAAGAAGTTAAAAACCTCTTTGTTATGTTGTAAATGGGCTTTGGGTGTGTTTCTAAAGTCCATTTCATATAGGGTATTTTTATAATTTGGGTCCCTCGGTCTGATTCCAGCATTAAATAAATCGGCAGATAAGAATATTTGTCCATCTGTAATGGAAATTACATTAGTAGGAATATAAGCCGAAACATCTCCTGATTGGGTCTCAACTATTGGTAAAGCAGTCATACTTCATTCACCTAAACGAGAACTTGATTTAGCGGCTCTTTCCAAAATGCGTGAATGTAAATAAAAAACATCTCCCGAATAAGCTTCGCGGCCCGGCGGTCTTCGTAATAAAAGAGACATTTTGCGATAAGCCTGCGCATATTAGGTATAATAGTGAATCTCCCTAAAAAGTAACTAAAATTGGTTGAAAGTTGCCAACGGAGTCTAGCCTAGTGAAAAACGGCTTTGATTTGGCAGTCCAATGGTCTCAGGTTCGAACCCCTATGAAACCGTAGTAGTGTGGTATCTCAAATTCAGACCCCAAATTGTTGACCAAGCAGTCGTTGCCAATAGCTTCACCTTCGATAGCACAAAATAGGCCTTGCACAACTACGCTCCATCCTGACCCGGCCCACATGTACTTAAATGGTAATTGCAACTTTATATAAAACCGTCCATGAAAATTTAAATTAAATGTTGGGTCTAAAAAAAGATGGGAGTTTCACTAAAACACCCAAAATGGGGGCTGAAATTATAAAAAAAAACTCAACACTCAAAACACTTTATAAACACACCCAAAACCCATCATTACACATACTCAAAACCCATTTATCAACACACCCAAAAAATATGCAATTGTTGATTTTGGGTGTGTTTCTATGTTTAAATAGTGTTTGGGTTTTTTTATAAATACATGTCTAGGATTGGGTTTATTTACAAATTTGTAAAAAAAGATTTGGGTCTTAAAAAAATGTTAAGCACAAATCATGACTTGTTAATTTTAATCCCAGAATCATGACAAATTTGTTGAAACTGAAATATGAATTTTGTTTTTACTAAATAAATACATTTCTATAAATCATTTCAGGCATAAACGATGAAAGAAAGCCAAAATATGTTAGGATACCCCACCCAACTAGTACAATGTATTGATTATAAAGATCTCGATCGACATTTCCCTTCAAGTTGTTATTAGTCTTTGTCCTCCACAGATTGGGGTACAGAGCCACAAGTTCTTGGTCCTCATTCATAGCAAGTGACCAGTCTTCTTCTTATTAATTTTTCTTCCGCTGAATCAGCTGCATCATGATTCATGAAATGGGCCATCTGACCAATAATTCTACATTTTGCAAGAAATTTGATCCTGGAGGAACCACACAACCCACAATTTAAATGAGAATGCCCCTTCCATCTGGGCATTATCCATGACCTGAAATCTTTTGTTGGTGTTCAAAAGTGAC